CTGTTAGCTAGCCGTTAGGCACATTTATTTCCCAGTTTTTCCTTATTCAATTTTGTACCGTTAGCCTAGGATCTTTTGCCTCAGCTTGTCTAGCATTGTATATATATGTACTTGAATTCTTTATAATAATATATACAAGAACATTACTTTTCCTCATGGTATCAGAGCAGAATTAATCCTTTAAAGTTTTATTTTTGCTGTCCAGATACAGCTGGCCTTATGGCTGAAAAAGAATCAGCAGAAATTCCCAGCAAGTTCATGGGTAGCTCAAATCAGTTTTTGGCTTCTCCAGCTCTCTTCGATTCTTGTAAGGAATTCATGAATTTGTATTCCTCTCTCAGTGATATCTCTGGTAAGAATATCATGAACTTATCTAATTGGATTTTAGATAGTGGTGCTTCTGATCATGTGACTGGTTATAAAAATAAACTTGAACAATTGCAACCTTTACCCACCCACAATTATGCAAAAATCCTTGATGGAAAGCTTGTCTCTATACATGGTATTGGACGAGCATCTTTGGCTCCAAATATTACCATTGACAATGTTTTGTACATACCTGAGTTTACATGCAATCTTATGTCAGTGAGTAAGTTTAGTAGGGTTTTAAATTGTGCAGTAATCTTCTTACCTACATTTTGTGTTTTACAGCACCTAATAACAAAAAAATTGGTTGGAATAGGTGAAATGAATAATGGTCTTTACTATTTCAAGGCCATAACAGAGACTCTTATTTTGAATGCCACTGTCTCATCTTCCATGGAGCTTTGGCACCAAAGATTAGGGCATGCTTCATTTGATCGTATTTCATTATTATCTAAAAATATTTCTTTTGACCCCAAGTCTTTTCCTAGATGTTGTGATCCTTGTCATCGGGCAAAACAAACAAGAAAGACTTTTCCTTTTGAAAGAAAGAGAGTTGAATCACCCTTTCTTTTAATACATTGTGATATTTGGGGAAGGTATCAAACGTCCTCTCATTCTGGAGCACATTACTTTCTTACTATTGTTGATGATTACACTCGTGCTACATGGGTATTTCTTATGAAATACAAATCAGAAACTTATCAATTTTTGACTATGTTTCTTAATATGGTTAAGACTCAGTTTGGTTTGCAGGTAAAGCAAATAAGATCCGACAATGGACAAGAATCTCTCTCTAACTCTATGCAGGCCTTCTTTCATGAAAATGGGATTTTGCATCAAACCTCATGTGTGAATACACCCCAACAAAACGGAGTGGTGGAAAGAAAGCATAGGCATATTCTAAATGTTGCTCAAGCTTTGCGATTTCAAGCCAACTTACCTATTTCCTTTTGGGGAGAATGTGTTCTCACAGCTGCCTACCTTATCAATTATACACCCACACCATTACTTGATGGTAAAGCTCCGTATGAACTTCTCTTTGGTAAGGCACCTTTATATAACCACCTAAAAGTTTTTGGTTGCTTATGTTATGCAAAAGATCACTCCTTGCCTACAAGTAAGTTTTCTCCTCGATCTAAAAAATGTATCTTTATTGGATACCCTCATGGTAAGAAAGGATATTGTATTTTTGATATTGAAACTAAACAAATATTTGTTTCTCGTGATGTTATTTTCTATGAAAACATTTTCCCATTTCAGGACACTAATTCAATTCGCCATGATGAATCAAGAATATCCATGCCTTTACAATATTTTGATGATGATGATCCACCAGAAGTTGATCAACCCACCATCATACGGCCCAAACAGGCTTGCTCAAGGAATGTTGATAGTGCTAACTCAAGCGTCGATGCTTGCAATGCTACACATGAAGAGGGAGATGCAAACCCAACAATTACTAGAACTTTTGATGCAAGCCATGGTGATGTGGCCAATCCCATTAATTCCGATTCAAGGCCACAATGCGAGAGAAGGAAGCCAACCTATCTCACAGACTACATCTTAAATGGGGTTCAAACAAATACCAACACTTCCTTGACCTCAGGTACGCCGTATTCTATTTCTCATTTTATTGCATATGATAAATTTAGTCTTACTCACCGTTCTTTTCTAGCGGCCATCTCCACTAAAGATGAGCCAAAATCCTTTTTTGAGGCTATCCAAGATCCCAAATGGAGACAAGCAATGAAAGCCGAAATTGATGCTCTTGAGAAAAATAATACTTGGACTTTGGAGACGCTTCCTCCTGACAAAAGACCTATAGGTTGCAAATGGGTCTATAAAATCAAATATAATGCTGATGGGAAAATTGAAAGATATAAGGCATGCCTTGTCGCAAAGGGATTTACCCAAGTTGAAGGCATAGATTACCATGATACCTTTGCCCTTGTTGCTAAGCTAGTTACTGTTCGATGCTTACTAGCTATCGCCGCTGCTCGTAATTGGGAGTTACATCAATTGGATGTTCATAATGCCTTTCTCCATGGAGATCTTAATGAAGAAGTTTATATGCAACTACCTCCAGGCTACGGGAATAAAGGAGAACAACGTGTTTGTCGCCTAAGGAAGTCCTTATATGGACTCAAGCAAGCATCAAGAAATTGGTTTGCCAAATTTGCTTCAGCTTTAAAACTTTTTGGTTTTCAACAATCTATGAGTGATTATTCACTTTTCACTTATCGGCGAGAGAATAATTTCCTCGCCGTACTAGTTTATGTTGATGATTTGATTATTGCAGGTAATAATTCATCTCTTTGTCAGAAATTGAAAGAATTTCTCCATATAATGTTTCACATCAAAGATCTTGGCAAGCTCAAATACTTCCTAGGTATTGAAGTGGCTCGGCATCCCTTTGGAATTTTCCTTTGTCAACGAAAATATACACTTGACATCCTTACTGAAGCTGGAATGCTTGGAACCAAGTCATGCCCTTTTCCTATGGAGCAAAAGCTGAAACTCACTCCTAGTACTGGTTCCTCTCTATCTGATCCTATGCAATATAGGAGACTGGTTGGAAAGCTAATATATTTGACTATAACTCGCCCTGAAATTTCATTCGCTGTCCATACTCTTAGTCAATTTATGCAAGCTCCTCGACAACCTCATCTAGATGCAGCAATGCGAGTTTTGCGATACTTGAAATCCTCACCTGGACAAGGGATTTTCCTCTCTTCATCAAGTTGTTTACAACTTTCAGCCTATTGTGATTCTGATTGGGCTAGTTGCCCCACAACAAGGAGATTTACCACTGGCTACCTCACTTTGCTTGGCAACTCACCTATATCGTGGAAAACCAAAAAACAATCCACAGTCTCAAGATCATCAACAGAAGCTGAATATAGAGCTATGGCTTCCACTGTTAGTGAACTCCTATGGCTCAAAGGCTTGCTCAAGACATTAGGAGTTGATACTTCTCAACCAATGCAATTTCATTGTGACAATCAAGCAGCTATTCACATAGCCACAAATCCAGTCTTTCATGAACGCACAAAACACATTGAACTTGATTGCCATTTTATTCGTCATTGGATTCAAGTTGGTCTTATTAAGACTTCTCATGTTCGCTCCAACCTACAAGTGGTTGATATATTTACAAAGGCATTGGGAGGTGATCAATTTCAATTTCTTCTCCGCAAGTTGGGCATTACAGATTTACATGCACCAACTTGGAGGGGGGGTGTTAGAGATATTCACTAGCATAAAATCTCAATCACAAAATCAATCACTAGCTGTTAGCTAGCCGTTAGGCACATTTATTTCCCAGTTTTTCCTT